AACATTTAAAGCTCCCCTATTTTCCTCATGTTCACCTTTCATGTCGTCTGTCTGTGAAGCCTACAGTATAGAGCAGCTTTGCATAGTTAGCAGCTCAAAAACCTTAACCTCTGCAACGTGCTCAAACTAGGATTAATATTGGAGATGTTTTTGAAAAATGGAGAGAGGTTAGAACGCAGAAAGGTCTTAGAGTTCCTGGGAGTTCATCAGCTCTTGGGAGGAAACATGACAAACTGTCTCTACCTGTGAATTTTGGGGCAGCTGCTCCGTCCTGATCACAGTCGATGGCCACTGTCTCCTCGTACACCTCGTTTGTCTCTTGGCCTTTCTGCACCTCGACACCTCCTCGCTCAATGTGGCCCTCAGGGGCCGTCTGGTCGTAAATACTGCCGTTAGGGGCCAGCAGCCCCCCCACTTCCACAGACACCTCTCCGGCTGAGGTGTCTGATCCAGTGTAGACAGGTGGAGGTGGGACAGGGGGCAGGGAGTCTCTGAGGACCGTGTACTCGTAAGTGATGTAGGGTGTGCGACCGTTCTGGTTCCACACCTGAGTGATGGGAGTAGAGTTAGACGAGTCTGGATCAGGTTAGATCACAGGGTTCAGACCAGAAACAAAGAAAAACTAAAAAACAGAACCAAAACAACTCTGCTGTTTTCACGAGTGTGTTAGTTTTACCTGTGCCACATTTTAAAATATAAAGAACTAATAGGTACAGATAGTTCAGATAAAATCCTTCAGGGAAACACATCTTCTCCACAGACTGTAAGTATGAATGTTTGAAGCCTGAGTGACGTCACCCGTCGGTCTCCATGCTGGAAATGCTGTCTCAGTCAACCTAACGACAGGCTGAGAGCTGGAGCTGAGGCGGGTTTTAAACCTCCTGACAAACCGTTACACCGCGCCCACCTGTCAATCAGGTCAGCTACACGCCTTATTGTGAATAACTCTTATCCTTCATCAAATCAAAACTGATTTAAGGTAGGTTGTAGAGACGTCAGAGAAGGGGCAGACACCTCCTTTCAACTCAGGCTCTTATTGGCTATTATAGGCTGGGAACAGCTAATGGAAGCTTGTAATTGGACCAATGAGGTGCCATTTAAGAGGTCTGAGTGCGGCTGTCATGTTAATGTGTCGGAAGTGGTGAAGGAGGAAGTGAAAGTGTACCAGGATATTGATGGCCTGGTCGATGGGGCCTTTGGTGACGATGTACTCGATCCCGGTCTCATAAACGTCCATGGGCCGACGGTATTTGAAGATGGTTCCTGCTGCGTGGAAGTTCTGAGGACTGTCCACCTTGTAGGCTCCATTAAAGAAGAAGTTTCCTGCCTGGTCGGTCACAGCTGAGGAAAAAGAAAAGGACACAGTGGAAAGCTCAATCAAGTAATTCCACAGACTGAAAAGTCAAGGTTGCCCCTGAGTTTCCTGTCTTTAATGTCTTTGAAGCAGTCGAGCAGCGTTAGTAAAGACTGTGGGTTAATGCTTTCGAGTGGGAGATATATTTGAGTGTGATCGGCAAAACAGTCAAAAGATAAGCTGCGATTCCTTACAAGAGCATCGAGTGGCAGCATGTAGAAGTAAAAAAAGAAGAGGCGAAAAAACAGAGCCCTGAGGAACCCCACAAGAAGTATTTATGAAATATTTTTGTCTTTTTGCTTCAAGGCACAGTATGTAAAGTCCACCACGAGGAGGCTCTCAATCGAGGGGCCGGGGGGTTCATCTGGCCGTCTTGACTATGGTCAACTCGGGGATTCGTTTTCTTCGTAGCAGAGAGAGTCACTCCCATGATTCCCCGACAGCCTGAATGTCAGCTTTTTGTATTGTTTGGATTGAGAGCCCCCTGGTGGAGGACTTTACATACTGTGCCTTTAATTTAAGATAATTTAGTTTAAAATTCTACTTTGGTTTTTGTTATGGACACATTAAAAAAATTAACATAAGTCCGACAGAAATCCTGCAACAGCTGATAAATCAACCCTTTAAGTCCTGAAAGTGAAGTCATTTTTATCTTTTAGTTTTCTTTCAAAATAAAGTGATTATATTACAAATATCATATTTATTAAACATTTGAAAAATATCTTCTGTTTGTATGTTTGTGTCCAAAAACCCACCAAGAACATCGGCCGACTTCTTCCTCTCAATGATCTGGATGTCCCATGATCCTTCAGGGATTTGAGTGATGAAAGAGTAACCTTGACAACAGGAAACATTTATCCATCAATCAATGAAACCTTTTTTTAATTATGTGATATAATATTTAGAAACCCAACATTTAGAGAATAAAATCTCCCTAAAAACAGGCTGAAACCTCAAGCTCAGTGTTAGCTTTTTGTAACGTTTTTGTAGTGTTTTTATATTCAATATTCACCCAGACTCAGGGCCCCGCGGCGGAAGTTTCCGGTGACTCTGCTGCAGCTGCTGCCGTCGCCCTGACAGACGCCACACTTATCCAACGTATTGGATGAAAACAGCACTCCATCACACCCGATTGGCTGAGCAGGAAATCAGGAAGTAAAATGAAGAATGGACACAAAAACAGAAGAAAATCCGTAAATCCTAAATTAGTTCTTGAACCAGTCATAAAGGTGCCGAAGAAAGCAAACACAACATGCTACTGATGCTCTGAATCCGTCATCACACCAGTATCAAACTGGACTATAACAGCTTCCTGTCTGTGGTTCAAGCGGCTCACACAAACCAGCCCTGGTGGAGTGACACCAAATAGACAAAGTAAAGAAGACACTGGACTCACCTCACACTTACCGTCCACGCAGACACCGCGGTAGCTGCTGAACTTGCAGGACGTGCCGTCTCGTGCCGTCACCATCAGCTGTCTTTGGCCGTCCGTCGTTGTGCAGTGGAGGTCACAGGGGTTACTAGAGATGTGAACGTAGTCGTCTGGAGAGGGGCGACACAACACTGGAAGTAAGAGTTTCTTCTTCTATCCACCGTGCACGCTGAGACGGATCAGCCTCAATAAATGTCTATAACCAGAATCACTTTCAGGGTGGAGTTCTGTCAGTGAACGGGGCTCATCCGCACTCAGAGGGCATGATGTCAAATTTAAGTTTATCAGAAAAGAGATAAAAGAATTTAAGAAAGGCGCAGTATGTAACTCTGACCCCTAGTGTTTAAAATGGGTACTGCAGTCTAAATTCTAAACATCATAGAGAGCTGTCTCCCCCCCCCCCCCCCCCTCCATGCTCACTCAGGTCACCATGTGGTGGACTCTGAAGCTTCAGTGTTTATCCAGCTCTGCATGGGTCTGTAAACCTTTCTGTGTTCTAACCTCTCTCCATTTTTCAAAAGCATCTCCAATATTGATCCTAGTTTGAGCACGTTTCTGCTCGTGGAGCTTATTAGAAACATGCAGAGGCTTTTTAGGTCGGGTACAATCACTTCTATCTGAACCACTTCTCTTGACCGCTTCCATCGCTGCAACACCTGTTGACCTGATAACTGCTCTCATATCTGACAAACCGAGGGGCGTCCAAAACAGCCGTGTGTGTGTGGGGGGGGGGGGGGGGGGTCTTAAAAGCGCCTACCTTCTCTGGTCCAAACAAATCCAGAGCATTCAGGAGCAGAATCTAAAGTTAGAAGGAGGACATACTGGCTGCTGCATTGTTGTCAGAGAAGCCAGCACTTCAACATGTTTCCTTAATGATCAGATAGTAAGATACCTTTATCATTTACGTAATTACACATCTCACTGATTGGACCGTTAAGGATGCTGACAATCTGGATGCAGAACATTAAATCTCAGCAGCTCACAAAGGTCTGACCTCAGTCCCCTCTGCTCAGTTTAATGGGTAAAGAGCGGTTGTGTGTGGGTTTTATGAGTGTAATTACCAGGATACAGAGGTTTCCACTGGTAGTTCCTCCCACTGTAAAGCTGAGAGTTAAAGGACCAGCACTGCTCCTCTCTGAAGCTCCTCCCAGTGGCGGGACATTCCTGCAGAGCACATCCACACACAGCACGGTCCATTAAAAGAGGTCTGTTTCACACACTTGTTGAGACCCCGTTTTTACAGTATGTTATACAAATAAATTCTTTTTGAGCGTTTATTAGTGCAGGGATAGTTTTCAGAGAATGCACGATCAGCCTGAGCCGCGCCCGGCTTCGCTTTCAAACAGCTCCACGCTGACACACCCGGAGGCCGTGTCTGCCACTACCACGGTCCTCTTACTGTCAGAAGGTTTGTTTGTTTTAATAAAGAAGTGAGAGAAAGTGATGAGAAATTAACTGCAAGCCTGATACCCACTTTAGTGTTGCAGAGATGATATTTCTTTGGAGTTCCTGTGCAGGTCATGTTGTCCTTCCCAGCAGCAACTTTCTTTCTTTGGACAGAAAACAAACAGTGGCAGAAAGAACAGAATATCATTAAACAAAGAGCCTGTAACTGATGAGAGACATACAAATAAAAGTATCAGGATGCATTATAAAATGAGCCTATATTTCTGTTTTAATGATGACTTAAAAGCATGGCATAAGGGCTTTGACCCGTGCATGACCCGTGCCTGGTGTCAGTCCCCAAGTTTCATTTGACGCTGTACAGGGCTGAAGCAAGAATGTACCTGAGGTGAAGAGAGCAAGGGAAGACGTATCTTAACTTCATTATCAACTGTTACGTCCCTGTGATGTTCTGCCTATCATCAGTCTGAATATCATGGAGGAGTAATGGGGGAAAGAAAGGCCCAAAGGCCCAAAATGCCCAAAAACATATATATATATTCTTTTTAAAAAGGGTTTCTGATATGTAGCCGAGGATTAGGACTGCCGATGCATGACCCTGTTGTTCAACAAGTAGAGTACGAGTGCGTTGTGAACCAGGCTGTCTTGGTGCATCCTACTATTTGGATAATGTGCAGTTCAAGCGGCAGGAGAAATGCTGCACCATTGACTTTCAAACAGCTTAATTTTCACTTTCTGCTGCCTGAAGATCTCAACATGCCACCATTTTACCTCATCTCCTTTTAAGATCAACACTCCCAAGGGGTGGGGGAGTGTTACCTACACAACATGGCCACTGGGCGTAAAAGTGACCCCTTCATTAATAACAGTTACTGGCTATTAGGGTTGCACTGTGCCGTTAGTTTTTACACTAAAACGTTAATTTTCATCCTAAAATTGTAAGGTATAGATATGACTGACCTCTGCTTGAGGCAGTGTCGCTCCTGTGACATCACTCCCCCTCCACAGGTACGTGTGCAGGCGGTCCACTTGGCCCACTCCCCCCACCAGTACGTGGTCACTTCCAGCTCCTCCTCCAGGCTGTTGGACGCAGCGCCATCCTCCTGAAAACACAGAAAGTACATCTGAACATTTAGCTATTCTAAGGGACATTAAAATCACATCAAGAGAGAGAGAGGAGAAATAGTTTGATTTACAGTAAGCTCAACACTGAGCTTCATTTGGCCCACACACCATCAGAGATTAATCCATCAGACTGTGACTGCTTGATCATCACCCCGACTCAACGTCAGACTGCAGAACGGTTTACACGTCGGCCACAACTTAGACTTTTTATGAGGAGACATGTTCCCCCTTGAAGCAGATTACATTTAATTTGTTGCATGTGTTGCAATGCTTAGGCCAGAAAGTCCACTCTGTCACAACCCCAATAATAAATCTGAATGTGGCTGTGTACTTTGGTATTATCCAGGAAACGTCACAGCAAGTCAACATTTTTCACTCTGACAAGTAAGACGAGCAGAAGCAGCAGAGAGAGCAGTCGATGAAAAAACATTCTGGGGGGGTGAAGATTAGATACAAACAGTTTTGGAAATGCATCAGTGGATAACTTCAGCTGGCTGCTACAAAACCCGACTGAAGTGCATGTGCAGAGTTTTTCTTTGAGGAAAATGCACCTGATCAAATCTTTGTTTTTTTCGATTGACAGGCTCAGATTTTTTCTGAAAATATAACAGAAAGGACGCCTGTAGAAAAAATACATTTTGTAAGGTAAGGTCCATTTTTGGAACCAGTCAAAGACTATCCTGCTGTGTTCTCACATCAGCTCACTCTGACTAGGGGTCTGTCAGGAGAAACTCTGGGTGAAGTCCAAGCGAAATATTTGGCTGTTCACGTTCACATATAAACTAAAGCCCCTCCTGATAATCTCCAGAGTTTTTCAGGAGATTTCCGTAAGTGTGAAAAGGGTTTTTGTGTAATAGTTAGTTGTTGCATAATCTGTGTTTAGTGTTATGAACAGTCGGTCATCTTCTCAGTGTTAAACTTCTGCCCAGATGATTTGACTCAGAGTGAGTCAGAGTGACAGGAACTGAGCGTCAGAGCGCTGCAACGTGTGAAGACGGTCAGCATTTCACACATTCCTGATGCTCAGCAACATTAACTCAGGCCGGTGGCTGCGTCCCCTCACTCACACAGATAGATCAGAGTGACCGCTGGAATGTGCACTGAGCTCCTTGTAAAGGTGTGAGACAGAGCAGCTGGGAGATAGGGCGAGAGACACTGGAAATACCAGACAGAGAGCGTAAGTGAGAGAGAGACAGGAGAGATAGATGAGTACAGAGAGAGAAAGAGAGAGAGAGAGAGAGAGAGAGAGAGAGAGATGTGTACAGAGAGAGAGAGAGACAGTGGAGAGTTAGGGGCAAGAGAGAAAAGATAAGGTGATGGGGTACGAGGATCAGTAGCTCATCAGTGTTAGCAGAATACGTATTAGATTCAGTTCTCATGAATTTGAGTTTAATTGAAATCCTTTAACATGAAATGATTAAACATGATGATGTCTGACAGTCACTAACAGTTTGATGATGAACGATAAAGTCTATTTATGATGTGAATGACCCACAGAGGAACCAACTGGACCTTTGCTAAGAAGGTCTCTGGTCTCTAACTTCAAGCTGTTTTTTTTCTGTTTATCGGGGGGTCTGGGTTTTGGAGGCATTTGAAGCCGGTAATTCCACATGTCGCCTTTCAGCTCCTCCTGGGTGATCTAAAGCTGTGGTCCAGACCACATGAGATAAAAAAAAACCTTTCCATTGAGCTCAGAGTCTACCTGAAGGTCTCCTTGCTCCTTCCCCCAAAGGTGCTCCCAGCCCCAGTGGATTCCTGATACAAGAGGAAAACCACCTTAGATGGTCCCTTTGGATACAAAGAGGCTCCTCATCCCTATTGAAAACTTGATCTCCTGCAGATTGGAAAATCCCTTTGAGCAATGGAGCCTGGTAGGGTCTTGGCTTAATCAGTCCAAGAAGAGGGTCCAGACATGGAGAGATTCAGAAGATTCTCAAGAATCAGTGAAGGTGGAGAAGAGCCTGCCAACGAGTGTGTGGTGCCTGCATCTTGACCAAGGAAGGCCTGACTGGGCTGAGTGTAAAACATAAATGAAGCAGAAGCTCAAAGTGACGGGTGTCAGGGCTTCAGGTGCAGTACAAGTTGTGTACAATAATTTGACCTAAAAATGTGAGCTTTCAAATCATCTTGATGGTAACGAGGCTTGTGTAACCAAAAATATGGCCCTTTACATTTCACACCAGCGTGCATTATCTTGGGTCAACTGGATGTAATCTCACAGCAGCTTTCTAACAGAGAGCTCTGAAAGAGAACTTCTGTCTCTACCAGTCTGACAACAGTATTTCTAACCACTGCGCACCACCTGTTGACTCACAGTGAAGAGGGTCCTGGTTTGAATCCCCGTCCTTCAGGAGTCTCTCTGTGAGGAGGTTCCTGGTTTGAATCCCCGTCCTTCAGGAGTCTCTCTGTGAGGAGGTTCCTGGTTTGAATCCCCGTCCGACGGGAGTCTCTCTGTGAGGACGTTCCTGGTTTGAATCCCCGTCTGACGGGAGTCTCTCTGTCAGGAGGTTCCTGGTTTGAATCCCCGTCCTTCAGGAGTCTCTCTGTGAGGACGTTCCTGGTTTGAATCCCCGTCTGACGGGAGTCTCTCTGTCAGGAGGTTCCTGGTTTGAATCCCCGTCCTTCAGGAGTCTCTCTGTGAGGACGTTCCTGGTTTGAATCCCCGTCTGACGGGAGTCTCTCTGTCAGGAGGTTCCTGGTTTGAATCCCCGTCCTTCAGGAGTCTCTCTGTGAGGAGGTTCCTGGTTTGAATCCCCGTCCTTCAGGAGTCTCTCTGTGAGGAGGTTCCTGGTTTGAATCCCCGTCCGACGGGAGTCTCTCTGTGAGGACGTTCCTGGTTTGAATCCCCGTCTGACGGGAGTCTCTCTGTCAGGAGGTTCCTGGTTTGAATCCCCGTCCTTCAGGAGTCTCTCTGTGAGGACGTTCCTGGTTTGAATCCCCGTCTGACGGGAGTCTCTCTGTCAGGAGGTTCCTGGTTTGAATCCCCGTCCTTCAGGAGTCTCTCTGTGAGGACGTTCCTGGTTTGAATCCCCGTCTGACGGGAGTCTCTCTGTCAGGAGGTTCCTGGTTTGAATCCCCGTCCTTCAGGAGTCTCTCTGTGAGGAGGTTCCTGGTTTGAATCCCCGTCTGACGGGAGTCTCTCTGTGAGGAGGTTCCTGGTTTGAATCCACATCCTTCAGGAGTCTCTCTGTGAGGACGTTCCTGGTTTGAATCCCCGTCTGACGGGAGTCTCTCTGTGAGGAGGTTCCTGGTTTGAATCCCCGTCCTTCAGGAGTCTCTCTGTGAGGAGGTTCCTGGTTTGAATCCCCGTCTGTCGGGAGTCTCTCTGTGAGGAGGTTCTTGGTTTGAATCCTCGTCCTTCAGGAGTCTCTCTGTGTGGAGGTTCCTGGTTTGAATCCCCGTCCTTCAGGAGTCTCTCTGTGTGGAGGTTCCTGGTTTGAATCCCCGTCTGACGGGAGTCTCTCTGTCAGGAGGTTCTTGGTTTGAATCCTCGTCCTTCAGGAGTCTCTCTGTGAGGAGGTTCCTGGTTTGAATCCCCGTCCTTCAGGAGTCTCTCTGTGAGGAGTCTGCATGTTCTCCTCGTGCATGTGTGGGTTCTCTCCTGGTACTCTGTCTTTCTCCCACAGTCCAAAGACATGCTCGTTAGGTTAACTGCTGACTCTCTGAATGTGAGTGTGTCTGTCTCTATAAGTCAGTCCTGTGATTGGCTGGTGAACAGTCCAGGGTGTAACCCCGCCTCTCGGCCAATGACAGCTGCAATCGGCTTCAGGCCCGAACGGGAAAAATGGTATATAGATGATGGATGAATAGATGGTGTGAAAAAACATGGCAGTGATTCTGAGAATATTTCTCTGACTGTTACGTACCTGCAGCCCCCTGGTGGACAGGTTCCCTACGGACACTGCCAGCGTTAGGAAGCCCAGCAGGACCACACCCGTCTCCCTGCACTGTTCCAGTGAGCGCACCTTCATCCTGGTTAATAAGAGAGTGAGAGAGAGAGCTCCATCAGGCCTTGTACTGTACCCGAGCTCTGACATTGGGAAACAATAAGACAGACGATATAAACTTCTGATTGGAAGATCTTGATTGTCCCTGAGGGACGTACAGACAATACACATCATAAAAACAGCACAAAGACAGAAATACATCTAACACATAGCAGTGTGCGCCCCGGGTTTGACTTCCTCACTCTATCCCTCCTTTTCTTTAACCTGGATTTCCATTTTCAGATTGCATTTTTTCTCGTGCATAAAAAAGTACTACCCTTGATTCTCATTTCACATGTTCAAGAAGCATCAAGACATCAAGGAGAAGGAAAACGTGAACGCACACTGTAATGTTTCTGCCTTGTGTCCAGTTTGTGATTAGTGGAAATCGTCTGGCAGAAATCAGCGACCTCTAAAACTCTCAACACGTGACATTTATCACAAAAATAGAGCAGCCAGAGTTATGATTTATGGAGAGAGTCTAGTCCACAAATCTGTCCCGGTTTCTAAATCGAAGCACCACCCAGTGACGAGTCTTTCACGATGCCTGAAGGGTATAAAGGAAATGTTACGACCACTAATAAGTTCTCGGGGCATTTAAAATCCCACGTCCAGGCATTTATGTGAATTGTAGATGAAAGCAAATTGCCGAGACATGCGGGTGTTATTTCTTGTCTTTTCCCCCTCTCCCCATTTCAGGCTTCTCCGCTTCCAAACCCACAGAAGGGCCTGAAGTTGGATTTTTGTTACGCCAAGAGAACACATTTGTGGTTGTAATATTTCCTTTCTGACTCTCCAATGAAATCCCTCGCTTCCAAGAACAACTCTCTGAGTTTTTTTTTTTTAGGGAGGGGGATACCTGAAGCTCTGCAGTCTGTTACATATGTGCAGAGCGCAGCGTGTTTGACAGAAAGTAACTTGTGTGTCGAGCCAACATTCACATAGCAGAGCACACACACACACACACACACACACACACACACACACACACACACACACACACACACACGCTTTTTCCTTCAAAATAAAAGACAGACTTCTCCTAAAGTGAAGCTGCTCCATCGTCCCTTCTGGGCCTCCGTACATGTGTGGTGGTGACTGTGTCTGCAGAGACTCTGTCCTCTGACTGGATTTTACTGTTCTGCTTTGTGACGGTTGACTCGGGACGTTTGTGGGCGGAGCTGGTGTGTTTCCTCCAGCCAATGACAGCGCAGCAGGTGAGTTTAGGAGTGGATACAATTCAGTGATTGGACGAGATTCAAAGCGGTGAATATTACGGACGTGGACGTAGCAGCAAAGAAGAGAAAATATAATGAGAGTGAGGAGAAACACCAAGTGGATAAAGATCGTTCTAAACGAGGGTGAATCTTGTGTTGTCTTTAACCTGCGGACGTGGAGTTGATCTACTTCCTGTTGGACAGGAAGGTGACAAACACCGGCGGTTAGCTTGCAGTGTAGCTACAAGCAGTAAACGTACACACTACATCCTGCAGTGAGTGTGGAGGTGATTTCTGTGTATGTTCATGCAGTCACGTCATCCAGGTGATGGTTAATTCATAGCTTGATCCAAAGGAATCTTGACTGGTTGATGATTTTGAAGATGTTTCACCTCTCCTCCTCCGAAAGGCGTCTTCAATTCTTAACTTTTTGGTGCACGGAGCTAGAAATGTAAGCCCCTGTCATTAGGCTGCCGCCCTCATACAGCACACATGACATTATTTCAAGCTATCAAAACGTCAAAGTCCTCACCAGAACTTTATGTTCAGAGGAGAATCCTTCCTCTGCGCCGCTACAGATAGCCTGGAACGTCTTGCCTGCCATTTGGTTGATTCCAGAAGTGTGTGACTTCTAGAGCTGCTGCTAATTACATTATTCTTTTAATATGAAAAACTGTCCTTGAATCAAAGCAAACATGAAGCATTATACCACAGGAAGCAGAAGTGCAGCGAGACGACACTCCTAACCTAGCAACGATAATTTACTGTAAGCGCTCTGAAATAATAATAATAATGATTTGTTCTTTATTGATCCCGCGAGGGGAAATTTGTTTTTACACTCTGTTTAGTGAACATGCTACACAAACACAGGCTGAAATACACACACATGCACAAACAGGATCCTGTGGACATGCACTAATGGAGAGGTTTCAGAGTGAGGGGGCTGCCCACAGTGGGTGCTCCTGAGCTGGTGGGGGGTTAGGTGCCTTGCTCAAGGGCACCTCGGCAGTACTCAGGACGTGGACCTCTCCAGCTACCAGGCCAATTTCCGTCCTTGAACCGGTGACCGTCTGATTCCCAACCCAAGTCCTCACAGACTGAGCTACTGCCGCCCCAAATTGAGGTCACGGTCACTACAAGAACCAAAAATCTCTGGAAAATAGCTAGGCAGGTCCGAACAAAAGTTCTAAAATAAACTCCCTGACAGCTGTGAGGTCCCCCCCCCCTCCCCCCCTGTAACCACAGGGGCTCTTCTTCACATAAACAGAGTTTAGTGTTTATAGAACTCCTGCCTCACCAGCGTTATTAGCTTAGCCTTGTTAGCTTAAGGCTGGTAGTGAAAAGATGTTCTGGATTACAGCATCAGGTGAACTCAGCTTCAGATGAAACCCAGTATTATCTGTCAGCTTTCCAAACACGTCAGAGAAACCAACAGGAGAACAACGGCATGGCAGCCGACCAGCGTTTTTCTCAGACAATACACGCCAACGCCAAGAACCTGTGTGTGTGGATGTATTGGCAGTCTGTGGCGGGCTGGCGCTAGCATGAGGAGGGTGACACAGACAGGCTGCTGAGAGGCCTCAGGTGTAGGAGAGGGGAGTTGGACAGCGGAGGGGGCCCGTGTAAAAAGTTAAACAAGCCCCAATGTGCTGGAAGGACGAAGGTAAGTTTCCTATAACTTCACACAGGTAGGCCTTTGTTTGGCTCTTCAGACCACCAGGAAATATAGATGTGTGCATGTAAAGGCTAACATGAACGTGCACAGACACACAGGAAGAGGAGGGTACCTGAAGAGTGCTCAAGTGCCCTCCTTTTCCAGCACACGGTTTGTTGTATACATGAGTGTAAAGACACAATGAAGCCTTTCACTGACAGGAACACTCCACCTCAAACCTGTGTTCTGACAGGATTTATCCCAAACTGTTTGCAGGAAAGAAATCAGTCTGAGCGCGCTTAAGAAAGTCTTTTTTCATTCACTTTAAATCCAAGAGTTTCAATAATAAAAGGAGCTTTACGTCTTGGCTATTGCGAAATGTGAAGTTCAGTGAGTTTGTCATCATACAGCGAGGAGGTTCCTGGTTTGAATCCCCGTCCTTCGGGAGTCTCTCTGTGAGGAGGTTCCTGGTTTGAATCCCCGTCTGTCAGGAGTCTCTCTGTGAGGAGGTTCCTGGTTTGAATCCCCGTCCTTCGGGAGTCTCTCTGTGAGGAGGTTCCTGGTTTGAATCCCCGTCCTTCGGAGTCTCTCTGTGAGGAGGTTCCTGGTTTGAATCCCCGTCTGTCAGGAGTCTCTCTGTGAGGAGGTTCCTGGTTTGAATCCCCGTCCTTCAGGAGTCTCTCTGTGAGGAGGTTCCTGGTTTGAATCCCCGTCCTTCGGGAGTCTCTCTGTGAGGAGGTTCCTGGTTTGAATCCCCGTCTGTCAGGAGTCTCTCTGTGAGGAGGTTCCTGGTTTGAATCCCCGTCCTTCAGGAGCCTCTCTGTGAGGAGGTTCCTGGTTTGAATCCCCGTCCTTCAGGAGTCTCTCTGTGAGGAGGTTCCTGGTTTGAATCCCCGTCCTTCAGGAGTCTCTCTGTGAGGAGGTTCCTGGTTTGAATCCCCGTCCTTCAGGAGTCTCTCTGTGTGGAGTCTGCATGTTCTACTCGTTCATGTGTGGGTTCTCTCCTGGTTCTCCGTCTTCCTCTCACAGTCCAAAGACATGCTCGTTAGGTTAACTGCTGACTCTAAATTGTCTGTAGGTGTGAATGTGAGTGTGTCTGGTTGTCTGTCTCTATAAATCAGTCCTGTGATTGGCTGGTGAACAGTCCAGGGTGTAACCCCGCCTCTCGACCAATGACATCAGGGCGACTTGGGGATGAGCGTCCTGATGAAAGCAGCAGAAAATCACTGGTTTGATTTAAAGATAATTCTTGATTTAGTTTGACCGTATCCATGTTTTTTGTGCCCTTGGCCTTTACGGCACAACAACGAAGGTAAACTGTTAGAAGTACAAAAGTATAAAAAGTATAAAACATAAATGAAAATAAGGAAGGATGCATTTAAATATTGAACCTTTTGAGGGAGAACTTCAGGGAGACATTCTTGGCAGCAATGTCTGAATCGGCAAAACTCTCCAGGGAGGCTCCAGGCTGCATATACTGAACACTCATACACACACATAGACACACACACACACACAGACAGACAGACAGAGAGAGCTTCTAGGAAAGGGCTTCATAGTACATCCCGTGTCCTCAGGTCCAGTTAGGCTCCCTTGTTAAAATAAGCAAACAGCTCGTCTCGCCCTGTTTGCAGTCTGGCTTTCTCTGGCACTAAATATTGGTGACAGGTGTCTTAAAGCAGGCGAGGCAGCACCTGGACTTCATTATCCAACCAGACACAGCTGGAGCCCGGCCAGCTGCCAAACACACACACACACACACACACACACACACACACACACACACACACACACACAGGATCACACAGAGCAGACACAGCTGCACGTGTGTATACACACTGCCAGTGGCGTGACTGAATACACACACACACACACACACACACACACACACACACACATAGACACACATTAAATGTTCCCACCATGCACGCCCAGGCCTTAGCCATGTGCACACTCGGGGACGCATATGCCCTTGCATGTTGACTGTTCTCACTTTAAAAGTTGATCACACAGAAACTTGCTCTCCCTCTCAGCTGCTATAACACAGCGCACAGCTCCCACAGCTAGGTGTTTGTTCTGCCCTCTGAGTCTGCCTTCATGACATCACAAAGGGCA